CATTTATGGTTCCTTCGATACAAATGAATAATCCAATTTTCTTTTCCGTTACAAAAAATATATATTTTTTTTGTGAAATAAAAAGATAATCCAATTTGGTTGCTAATGTCCAGCTACAAATCTTTCATTGTTTCGATCGTTTTGATTTGGGATTTTTTTTTCATTTTTTTATTATAAAATTTCAGAATTAGAGGACGGGTCTTGGTACGACAGAAATGTTACTTTTTTTTTACTAAATGATCACGGACTTGAGTTGTGAAAACAATTTATTTGTAAAATAAGAGTAAGGCTGCGTACTATAGATATTTACCCCATTCCTCACAAAGTGTGGAACCTTATTAGCTTGAGGTCGCCCTTTGAAATTTCAAAATTATTTTTATCATCATTCTACTCATTCCCTCCTATTTTTTCTTTGATTACTAACATGTTGTTGTAGTCAATTAATAAAAAAAAAAAAACTCATACTAAATTAGATAGCTTCTATAAAACTAATTGATTGTATCGAATTCGGATAATCATTTCCTTAAAAAGATTTAATTCAAATGATCTCACCCATTCTCTTTGATAGACAAATGATCTCACCCATTAATTCTAATAATTGTGCCAGCAAACATTGTGTGAAAAGGCTAAAGAGAATGAAAAAAATCCCACATCAAAACGATGAAAAAAAGAATGATTTGGAGCTGAACATTAGCAAGCACATTTCAAAGCGTAACAATCATACTGCTACGCAATATAACTGTTACACAAGTCATAAAATAAATTTATTATATAATTGACATACTCCAATTATAATATTAATAAATAAATATACGTGCTCATCACTCATCTAAGTACAATAATAACACGATGGTATGACATTTTATTGTAATTAAAGTTGGGCGGAATGCCCTTAATTCTTTTGAACCTCACTAATAATTAGTTCCATCATTTATTCAGAATATGAGATACTTCAGATTTTAGCGGTAGAAAATATTTACTCGGTAAAGAGGATGAAAACTTGTTGAACAAGACCAAGTCATCGTCAAATATATTTTGGTCACCTTGGTACACAACCCCAAGAAGACATGTGTCTCTCTTCCCTCTCTTTCTCTCTCTAGCTTTTCTCTCTCTAATCTCCTCTCTGGCGCCAAAATGGGAAAGCATCCTGCGTATTCTTTTATCATAATCCATCAAATTAATGAATCCGTATCATTGAAATTTAATTCAACGATTATAAACGGGATATTTAATTTAACGATTGCAAATAGAGATTTATTTTAAAAATTATAATAACTTACAAATTCAATGATTTGATGCAGATTCAGTCCTTTCAGCCAAAAACCCAACTCACTGTATAAGCAGACCAAAACAGAACTCTCTCTCTCTCCACCTATACGGAGCTCTCTCTCCACCTATATACCCAATCACAAAAGCCAACCACGAAGCTCTCCAGACGTTTCACTCTTCGGAGGTTCCGCAAAACGAAGCGTTTCGGAAATGACGGTGTTCGGGAGCTCCGCCACGGCTTACCTGTCCGGCGGGAAAGCGCACGCGCACGTGTTTCCGATCGACTACGAGGCCGAGGTTTCGCAGCGGTTGGTGGACGCCGCGCACGACAACGACTCGAAATCGGCGGGGGAATGTCTAGGCGATCCTTTCGTGGACGTGAACTTTGTCGGAACGGTGTGCTTGAAGTCGAAGAAGACGGAGATTGTGGCGCAGGGCGAGTCGGCGCACGAGGTTCGCGTCGAGTACGAGGAGTTCAAGACTCAGATCACTGCCTTGTTCCTCGCCGCTCACTCTGGGAATTTGGCGCTCGTTAGGAAGCTCCTGGTAACGTAATTCATGCAAATTTGCAGTATTTGAAATTATTAAATTCATATTATAATTTCTCTTTTGCTTAAATTTAGAGCGAAGAACTTTGAATGTCTCTAATTTTGGTTTTGTAAATTTTCGCGTGACAGAGTTATGGAGCAAATGTGAATCAAAACCTGTTCCGAGGCTATGCAACAACAGCAGCAGTGAGGGAGGGACATTTGGAGATATTGGAGGTGCTCATCAATGGCGGCGCGTCTCAGGAGGCATGTGAGGAGGCCTTGTTGGAGGCAAGCTACTTGGGGAGGGCTAGGTCCGCCGAGATGCTCATGGGATCCGACATGATCCGCCCTCAGGCGGCGGTGCATGCTCTTGTTTCTGCTTCCTGCAGAGGCTTTGTTGATGTAGTTGACACACTCATCAAGGTAACTTTTAATCATAGACTAATCGAAAAATCCATCGTGGTTTTATGTCTCAATTAGGGCTCGTCTGAGAATGCTTATGTAGGAATAACCTCTGCTCGTAAGTACTTTTAAGTTGTTATGCTCTTATCTGAGTCTGCATTGCCGAAAACATGATCCTTAAACTGTATTGACAACATAATTAAGTGTGAAGTACAAACAAGGTCATCGTCGCCCAAAAGTGTATGTGTTTTTTTAATTGCTTGAACATATAACCTTTGTTCCATGACAGTGATGCTATTGATTGGTGGCAGTGTGGGGTGGATGCGGATGCAACTGACAGGGCGCTGCTTCAATCGTCCAAGCCATTTCTATACACTAATGTTTACTGTAATGCGCTTGTTGCCGCCATTGTTAGCCGGCAAATTTCTGTAGTCAGACTCCTCTTGCAGGTTTATCCCTAACTCATCGACTAGTATGCGTACCTTTATGGTTATGCACTTCTATCTAACGTTGTGTACCTTTTGGAATGAATAACAGGCTGGAGCCAGAACAGATATAAAAGTGAGTCTTGGGGGCTGGTCCTGGGATGTAAATACAGGAGAAGAGTTTCGGGTGGGTGCAGGACTAGCCGAGGCTTACAGTGTGACCTGGTGTGCTGTGGAGTATTTTGAAGCCAGTGGTGCTATCTTGCGGATGCTCTTGCAACACCACTCTCCTAACATTCCTCACTTTGGGAGGACTCTCATTCACCACGCCGTATTATGTAACAATGAAAGAGCGGTAGAGGTTCTGTTAAGTTGCGGTGCTGATGTAGAAGTTCCAATTAAGACAACAAATTCAGAAACTGACTGCCCTGTTCACATGGCGTCGCGACTTGGATTAAATAAGGTTCTTCAACAATTGGTTAGTGCGGGGTGCAATGTCAACTCTCGGACAGAATCTGGAGAAACTGCACTAATGAGCTGTGCTAGATATAAACACCAGGAATGCCTTAAAATTCTGGCTTCAGAGGGTGCTGATTTTGGCCTGGTGAATTCTGCTGGTCAGAGCGCAAGCGTAATAGCAGAGTCAGCAAGGTGGACTCTTGGCTTCCGACAAGCAGTTGCAGACGTGATTCGATCTGGTGAAATTGTTCAATCAAGCAATACATCAGTATTTTCTCCTCTAATGCTTGTGACTCAAGCAAACGATGTTGAGGCCTTGAAGAAACTGATTGAGGGAGCAGACGTTGATCTCAATGAGCAAGATGAAAAGGGATACTCAGCTGCCATGATAGCTGCAGAGGGTGGTTACCTGGAAACTTTCAAATTGCTTATCGATGCTGGGGCTGACATAAACCTGCACAATAAATGTGGTCAGACTGTAATGGAACTATTCGTTACAAACCAAAACAGTGAAGAATTTGAAAAGTTGTTTCTTAAGAATGCTGCACCTCAAAAGGTACTTGATAGTCCTATTGAGTTTTATGGGACTCTACATCAGGCAGTACAGCACGGCAACACAGATTTCGTTCTTACATTGATAAGCAGGGGTTCTGATGTGAATGCTTCTGATGCCGATGGATACACTCCATTGATGTTAGCAGCAAGAGGAGGCCACTCTACACTGTGCGAGCTTTTGATTACTTTAGGGGCAAAATGCGACATTGCGAATGCAAGACACGAGACAGCCCTCTTACTTGCAAGGAAAAGTGGGATTAAAAACGATGCAGAGAATGTGATATTGGATGAGGTTGCAAGAAGCCTTGTTCTTGGTGGGAGTCGCGTGAAGAAGCACACAAAATGCGGTAGAGGATCTCCACATCGAAAAATGCTGAAAATGGTTGGGGCTGCCGGGATTTTGCAGTGGGGGAAGTCGAGCAAGAGAAATGTGATTTGCAGGAGGGCGGAAGTCGGGGCTAGTGACTCGTTCAGATGGAACCGCCGGAGGAAATTCGACACTGACGAGCTGGGGCTGTTCCATGTGGTGACCACAAAGCACAAGGAGCTGCATTTTGTATGTGAAGGTGGGATTGAAATGGCTGAGCTCTGGGTGAGAGGGATCAAGCTTGTGACAATGAAAGCTGTTTTTGGCAAGCTTTGAGTGGAGTTGGAGTGTGCATTGGAGATTTGTTCAATTGAAGCAGTTTTTATTGGTGCTTGGTTCATCCCATTGTACTTTTTGTTGTATGTTTTTTTTACTTGAACTCTTTGTACTTCGGTAGTAACTTTCCCACAAAGGTCTTTAAACTCAGTAAATAAGTTTCTGGGCATTTCTTTCCACTCCACGAGAAAGTGTGATTTGAGTTCACAACGACGCAATTATCAGGGGCCTGCTCTAACATTGAGTTAATAGCATGCCGTGAGGGCTCCTGCTGGAGGCCTACTATGCCAAAAGTGACGTTGAGTTCGAATTTTAGGAACATAGCAAAACAAAAAAAGCTATAAAATTGTGTTCGAAAAGTAGCAATGCACGTAAAATTTGAGTTCGAAAAATCTAATCGGTAGCCAAATGTTAGAGACTTTTTGTCATTTTAACAATTTACATCAACCACTCCTACTCATAAGACCATAACGATTGTATAGCAAACTAATAACTAATATCTGGAACTATTACGGGATGACCTAGTGGTTGAGAACGAATTCTAAACTCAGACTTCCCACAAAACGTCCGTGAATCACATTATAATAGCCAGAGAATAATGAAATACTTTTATGAGTCTTCTCAACTCTTCGAAATATGAATTGGCATGGTGAAAGCATTAGCTGCTCCTTAAAAAAAAAAATAAAAAAATAAAAAATAAAAAACCGTTGAAAAGTTGAGTTTTTCTAAAACCCTGATTTCGATTTTCTTCCCAAACAAATTCCCTCCCAAAACCCCCAAATTTCTTCTTCCTCGTCATTATACGATTCCGAGCTTCTTTTACTTCATCAATGGCGGACCTACCAATCCTCCAATTCGAGGACACAATCATGAAAGCAGTAGAAGAAAACCCCGTCGTAGTGGTGATCGGAGAGACAGGTTCGGGAAAGAGCACGCAGCTCTCTCAGATACTTCACAGAAGGGGCTACACCAAGTCCGGAGTCGTCGGCGTCACTCAGCCCCGCCGAGTCGCCGCCGTCTCCGTCGCCAGACGAGTTTCGCAGGAGCTCGGCGTTCGGCTTGGGGACGAAGTTGGATACGCCATCAGATTTGAAGATAGAACTTCGGAAAGGACGCGGATTAAGTACCTCACCGATGGAGTTCTTCTTCGTGAAAGCCTCTCCAATCCAGAGCTTGATCAGTACTCTGTAATCATACTAGATGAAGCTCACGAAAGGAGTCTAAACACGTACAATCTCTCTCTCCATAACGCTCCAGATTTTAGGGTTCTTAGAAATTTTGATTATTTGTTTGTTTACACTACAATGTGGCATTTTGTCAATCAGGGACATACTGCTGGGACTGATGAAACGCTTGGTGAAAAGGCGTGCCTCGAATTTCAAGGTTCTAATCACTTCAGCAACTCTTGATGGCGAAAAAGTATCACAATTCTTTTCAAATTGCCCTGTAGTGAAAGTCCCCGGCAAGTTATTCCCGGTCGAAATAGCCTACAGCCGTGAGCGCCCTGCCAGCTATCTTGAGTCATCTCTAGAAACAGCTCTCAGTATGATTCTGATTTTAGTTTATTCCTTGCATTGTATTTTATTTTTCATATAATCAATGTGGTATCTTCTTTCTGTTATTTCGGTTTAATTCCCGACTTAGTTTCAAACATTTACTTGTTGGTAAGAAGTTGACTAACAATTTCTCTTTTTATAGATATACATATTAAGCAAGGCGAAGGCGATGTCTTGATTTTCATGACTGGACAGGTCAGATGCTGTTTTCCTACTCTCTTTTCCTTTTTGTGGCATTCAATGTACATGCGAGCGTGTGACTGCTACTTTGCATATAACCTGTCGTTTACATTGTTTTCCATACAATGCTTCTACTGACCGAAAAACTGTTCTTTTTTATAGGATGATATAGACAAGTTGGTGTTGAAGTTAGAAGAGAGAGTTCGAAGCCTGGAAGAAGGGTCTTGCATGGATGCCATAATCCTTCCTCTTCATGGTTCTTTGCAGCCCGAAATGCAGGCAAGTAAAGACTAATTGTAATTGTGTTCTATTTTTGGAGGCTTTAAAATCCTAAAGCTTTTTTAGTTCATGCTTCATCTTTTCTGTACAGGTACGTGTTTTTGGTCCTCGGCCTCCAAATTGTAGGAGATTTATTGTTGCAACAAATATTGCTGAAACTTCTTTGACTGTAGATGGTGTTGTGTAAGAAAAGAAACTATTTCCTGGCTGTCATGCTCATTTGCTTTTATTTACCCTTTTTATATTGCTTGCTTCACAAGGTTGAAATTGACTTAATGATTATATGGAAGCTATTGTTGAGTAAAATTTTCAAGTAAACTTTTTTCCATGTTATTTATAATCAACGAATCTGGTTTACACATAACTGAAATGATGTTAAATGGTTTTCTGTTTTCTCATAATCATGTATGAATCACAGGTATGTTATTGATTCTGGTTACGTGAAGCAACGACAGTACAACCCATCAACTGGCATGTATTCCCTCGATGTTGTTCAAATTAGCAAGTAAGGAGTCCATAGTTTTATATTTATTATAACTTTTTACTGTGTTCTGTCCTTACACTTAATTTATTACTGTATTCTTGTTTGGGCTCTTCGTCTACAATTTTAGTAGACAAGTTTTATGAAAAGTACATTTTTTCCAGGCTTTTCCAAACGATAAAATTTCCTTTTTTTTACCCCCCCGCATCTTGTACTCTACCGAGTGCTATAAGGTTTCTAACACAAATGAATAACATCTCTGTGTAGTTTGCTTATGTTTGTATTCAGGTAATTTGAATTTTGATCCAATTCATTCCTATGTGAAAAAGATTTGAAATTGAAGTTAACTAGACCTTTTCAATTGTTTATATGTTTGTTCTCTTATTATTTTGCACTACAATTGTGAACCAACTACGAAAGCAATCAGCGTTAGCAGCTTCTATAGTTGCATTCTGATCTAGAAACAATTTCATGGTTATCATTTAAGGAAGCCAGTGATACTTAAACCATTGCAGTAGATGTAGGCATGGAATTTTTAAAAGCATGGCCGAAAGGCTTAATAAACAGAAGTTGTCATGTTTATAGATGTTATTCCCTCGAATGATTCTCTTTAAAAAAAAAAAAAAGAATGATTCTGCCTATCATTCTAATTAAGTTTGGATTCATATGATTGCAGGGTACAAGCAAATCAACGTGCAGGACGAGCAGGAAGAACACGTCCTGGGAAGTGCTATCGTTTATACCCTTCGACGGTTTACGAGGATGAGTTCCTTGATGCAACAATTCCTGAAATACAACGCTCTTCGCTTGCTGGAAGTGTTCTCTATTTGAAATCTTTGGACCTCCCTGATATTGACATTCTAAAATTTGATTTTCTTGATTCTCCTTCCCGTAAGATGAATTTCTTTTCATTGTGTTTTTCTGCCCTGTTCAGGGATAACATTAGAATTCCTTGCATATGTTTTCTAATTCCAATTGGTTTGCTGCAGCTGAGTCTTTACAAGATGCTTTGAAGCAGTTGTATCTTATTGATGCTATTGATGAAAATGGATTGATCACAAGAGTTGGAAAAACAATGGCTGGTATTTGATTCACATCCCAGTTTTCAAGAGTTATAGTAATAATTTCCAATGTGTTGCCATTATTTAGAAGCCTTAAACGAGTTTTAGTAGTTTTGATAAATTAGCGTCATTGGAGAGCCCCTAGCATCTTGAGGAATAAAATGGCATTTTATAGTCGTCAAAATTTTGTATATCATTCATAACCTTAGTTGAACTGTAATAGAAGTGTCATATATGTACTCACAAATGTTTTGCTACTCATACCTACTTGGGCTTTTTGTTCCTGTACTATCTGTTACTAGTGCTAGAAGTTATTCCCCCTTGGTTTTGTGCACATTGAGCATTTTCTCTTTTAGATCTTTGATGAGTCTGCTCAGTAATTCCTTGATTTTTTCAGAGCTTCCGCTAGAACCTTCACTGTCAAAGACCTTAATGGAGGCAAATGAGTATGGCTGCTTATCGCAGGCTTTGACTGTTGCTGCTATGTTATCTGCAGAAACCACATTGCTTCCTGGTCGAAGGTAAACTCGTTAAAAGTTTCCCAGAAGATGGTGCCCTTATCTATGTTGTGAAAGTTAATAGCATGCATTGTGTTCTGACTTCTGAATACCTGAAAAGTACTCATATATCATATGTAAAACTAAATGTGCACACATCTGCACACATAAACTTTGAAAGATATTTGTGGACCTCTGGCCCTTGGAAGTATGAATATTTCGTTTGAGAAGATTATTTTTGTGCATGCCTCCATTTGCAGCAAAAGTACGGAGAAGAAGAGGAAACATGATTATTTGGACCTTCCTGATGGCTCTGGTTGGGGTGATCATATCCAGTTGCTACAGATCTATGAGTGCTGGCATCAAACTGACTATGACATTAATTGGTGCAAGGATTATCAGTTGCAGGTACCTTTTTATAGTCCGTATAAGAAATGTGATATATTGAGTACATCTACAACATGATTCTAATATATGCATATTATGTTTCTGGAACTCATTGATTGTAGGTGAGAGGGATGAAGTTTGTCAAGGATGTAAGGAAACAGTTATCTCAAATCATGCAGAAAATAGCAAAAGGTTAGTAAGCTAAATTAGCGAGGACCTTGCGCTTATATCACATTCACGAAACATTGCTTGTTACTTGATAATGTGAAACTCTTATATATAATGGTGAACAGCTGTAATAGTTGCTAACTGATGAGTGCTCAATAAGTAACATATCCAAAATACATTGATTTATGGCACAAAAACGAATTGAGATGACAATGGAAGATATATTAGCTATCTTTATTATTTATAGCCTAATTTTTTTCTTGACGTATTATCTGATCTTTGTTAACTGTTATTAGTGTTTAACTGCCAACTGAAGATTCTTCTTGCAGTGTTCTCTTGATGTTGCTTTCCTTCACTCTATTGATATGTTGTGTATCTGGAAAACAGGATCATTAGATGTACAGACAGCCAGAAGACGGAATGAAAGCCAACAAGATTATCACAATTTGAGGAAGGCTTTGTGCGTGGGATATGCAAATCAACTTGCTGAGAGAATGATGCATCACAATGGTTATCGAACTTTAGGTTTTAAGCCCCAAGTAGTACAGGTATGAACCTTGAAGTCTAGTCTACGTTAGGCTTGTTACATTATCATTATGCATTTCTGGTTATCAAATCACCTATTGATTTATTTAATCCGGGAAAGGAAAATCAGAAACTTTGAGTAGAAAATTGATTGTGACTAGGCATATCTCACTACCATTAGTCAAAGGCTTTGAGTAGTGAGTTTTTCGGAAGTCTAGAATTGACGCTTGTATTTGTATCATCTTTTATTTCAGGTGCATCCATCCTCTGTGCTAAAACCAGATGATGAAGGGAAATTGCCTGACTATGTTGTGTACCATGAACTCATTGCAACAACCCGCCCATTCCTGCGCACTGTATGTGCCGTAAATGTTGCTTGGGTCAGACCAATTTTGGACAAAGTGAATAATCTAAACATCAAGAAGCTGAGGTAAAGCCAGTTTACATAGAAACACCATTATAAGTAGAAAATGGTTTGTTGCTAATTTGAGGTCGTATATGAAGTTATGAACATTGCTGGGTTTGAACCTTTTAACCTTTTATGCAGTGGCGGGATTGGTCGTATTGAAGAGCAACCGGAGGGAAATCTTTCCGATTTGCCAAAGAAAGAGGATGTTGTTGCGCCGGTCCTTGACGATCGGGAAAGTAGAGTACAGGCGGCTAGGGAACGATTTCTTGCTCGTAAAGGAAAGAAATGAGCTTATTCAGTAGTTGTGTTGGATGGAGTGGGGGTATTGAGTTTTAGCACTGACCTAAAGAAATCTGGTTTAAGCTGCAACCGGTAAATACGGAAACCAAACTAAGGCTGCCCAACTCCCAAGTCAATTTCAGATCAATGCCAGCCTCATCATCCTCTACCATAGTTGCAATCAACCACCTCCGGAAGACACGAGTCCGGCACACACATGTTGTATTTCTATTTTCCGATTGTTCTGGTACGACAAGCAATGTGCATGCCGGCCAGTACATCCCAATCCAATGTGGTATGTTTTGAGCATACTGGCTGCTTCGTGACGTATAGACTTTGTATATATTTCAATTAAAAATCAAAGATTTTTCAATCTATCAAAGTCCTCTCTACGAACAAATCGTTCAAAGCCTCTCAAAATGAAGGAACAAATCTCTCAAAAGAAAGCAAGCATTTCCTCGAAGCATTTCAAAGAGTAGGAGTACCATTCCTTGTCTAAATCTCTCTCAAATCAAGTAGCTAAGGCGATTATCGTCGGAACAGTTTGTGAACTTAGTAGCATCTCCGTCCATGCAGATGCTGATCTGGTAAAGATGGTTCGCACATATATCCGGCTCACACTGAATTGTAGTTTGGACTTTGGTTTTCTGGTGAACAATCTTGGCCTTTGCACGAAGATCCTTAATATGGATCATCTCCCTAGTAAGATCCTTGATATGGATCATCTCCCTAGTACAGCGGATAGGCTTTTTCGAATACTCATCTTGTACTATCAAAGACAAAGTATTGGGAAAAGGCCATCCGCTGTACCAGGGAGATGAATAAATCCAAGAACTCTGTATTATGACCTTTTTAAGCAGGACACTGCCCTTTTTAAGCACGTGGTTGAATTATTATCTTCAGCACGTGTACAGTCGTGCTGCGGAAACTTCATTTCTGGTCATGAAGCCAACATTGCTGCGAGTGTTTGCTGCCACTCCTCAGGGGTGTACTTCTGTCAGGAAACATGCGTGAAAAGCTTGAAGGCTAATGGTGGCGACAAGCCAGTCGCGGTGGTTAATGGTGGTACTGAGAAAAGGATGGACATGCTCACTGCTTGGCCGAAAACAAATCCAGGATGTTCTTGTGCAATTCGGATGCACCCAGCTTGCAATGACGTTCTAACAGTGCTTCTACTGGCCTTGCCGCCAGGGACATGGTCTGGGATCAAAGACGTGAAGCTTTCGAAAGAAATATATCACCTTGTTTCCACAGAAAATCTTCCCACATTGCTTCAAGAAGAGGTTTTGCACCTGCGACGCCAGCTCCAACTTCTCAAGAAATGCCAAGAGGATAGGGTCGACGAGGATCAATCGCCAACCCACATCAAGCAAAAGACATCATTAACCCGTTCGGACCTACTTTTTTCTCTTTTTTTTTTGCCGAAGCCTAAGGTATTATTCCGTAGCAAACTTGTACCAGATTGCTTGACTGCGTATCTATAGCAACTAGTTTTTTCTGGTTTAAAAAAAGACATCTGGTATTTTCAGCCAGTTAAAACTATGCAAACATTATTGAAAGTGTGATCTCTCCGTGGTGAGAGCCCTCCGTAGTGAGTTTTTTCTCTCCTCTGTGAGAGTGATCTAGTCGTGGTGTCTTGGTGAGTCTGGCCTCCATTAATTGCGTCTCTCTCTTGCATGGTCGGAGGCTTAATGATTTGTCTTCTGAGGTTGGTGGCGTTTCAATTAAGAGCAGTTATAGCTTTGCTAGTCAGGTTCTTAACCATGGGTGGAGTGGTTCGCTTAGTGCTATCTACCCTTCATCCCAGCGTTGTAGCGGATTCAACGCGCTTTCCAGCAAGCTTTCATTCTCTGGGCCTCATAGAAAGAAGTACCAATTTCTCTATCCTCTTTACATTTTCTTTCATCCACCTTATGAGTACGATTTCAACGGAAGATAGTGGCCAGGGACAATCGGCGATGGAGGATTTGGTCGTACACCTCGAGGAATCTTTGGAATTAACTCCGATGGAGAACGGCGTGAAACTGGTGGGAATGGTATTAAACGAGAAGCCACTCAACAAGTGGGGGGTCAGAAACATTCTACGGGCAGCCTGGAAGGATATAGGAGAGATGCAAGTCAAGTGGGTAAAGGATAATCTGTATATCATTATTGTCCCTGATGAGAACTCGGCCAGGCAAATTCTTTCTCAAGTTCCCTGGGCGGTGATGAAGAAAAACTTCTCAGTTAAAAGGTGGTCTCAGGACTTAGCGTTGGAGGAAATACAATGGGACTTGGTTCCCTTTTGGGTCCAAATTCGGGGTGTTCCGTTATGTCTCTGCTCGCCTTCGAATCTCACGAAGTTAGCTTCGGCTATTGGGCAGGTGGAGGAAGTGGAAAACCCGTCTCTGGCAAGGGGGTTTTTGAGAGCGAAAGTGATTGTTGATACCTCTAAGCCTCTACTCACGGGATGTTGGTTGCCCAGGAAGCAGAATCAGGAAACCTGGCTTGAATTTAGATACGAACGGCTCCAGGATTTTTGCTATAAGTGTGGACGAATTGGGCATACGAATATGGATTGTTCTTTTGAGCAGCATCGGGGAGGTGGAAATGGTTATGGGGACTGGCTAAAGGCTGCCCCGATTCGGGAAATTATTGACCGTCCGAGATCAGAGTATTCGAATCCTAGCGGACGGAGAACGGTGGGCACGAAAAGGTCGATGATGGGTGGAGGAGGATGGCAGCGCGTGCGGGACACGGTGACTCAATCGGGTGAAGCTCAGGTAGTCAGTAAGGAGGGCCCCTCACGTATGGAAGCGGCTTGAGGTCCCAGTAATGTTCAGATCTCGAGACTGACGGAAGGGTCTAGAGTTGTGGATCTTACGTTGGGATCCTGTCAATGGGCCTTAGCTGATCATCTACCCGAGTTCCATGATCAATTGGGTCGGGCTTTTAATCTTTTGGGCCCCCAACCCAGCAGATCTTTGGACTTTCACATCCCACTGGAGTTAAGCCCATCCGTGGAGCTTGTTCAGATTGAGGAGGGTCCGTATGAAGGTAATGGGCGGCCTGCTGATGGATTGAGATTGGCGCAGGACGAGGTTGCACAAGCTGTGGCCCACCTTAAACCAACCTCTGGTAAAAAAAACAAAAAGAGGCTGCTCGAATTAAAGCAGTTAGAATCAGGCCTCTCGGCCACGAAGAAAATCAAGAAGGGAGATGGAGGTATCCCGCGTCAGATGAAAGCACGATTTCGGAATATTTTTGTTCCGAGTGGATCTGTGGTGGGGGAGAGTGATTCCTTGGTGCGGCAACCTTTTCTCGAGCTTCATTCTACATGCCCATGCCTTGGATCTTACCCTGCAGGAAGTGGGGAATTGGAGCTGAATGCTAGGCATGAGCAAATGCCGGACGACTCAACTTGTTGCGGTGGCGGCTGGCCCCTAACAGCCGCACGACAGTCATGAATTACCTGCTTTGGAACTGCCGAGGTCTGGGGTCGGACCCGGTAGTTCGGGCCCTCCGTGGGCTGATCAGGAAACATAGACCCTCTATGATCTTTTTATCTGAGATGAAAATGAGAGATCATAGGATTGACGGTATTCGTAGGCGTTTGGGATACTCATTTGGCTTCCATGTTTCGCCGATTGGGCGGGCTGAGGGTTAAGTTTATGGTGGATTGAGTCGATGAATGTTAACATTCTCTTTTCTTCTGCTCACATTATTGATGTGTGTTTCTGTTTGGAGGATAGTCTCTCTTGGGTGCGCTGTACTTTTGTTTATGGTACTCCGTACAGACGAGAGAAGCTGGATTTCTGGAATTGGATGTCTAACTATTTTGGTCCGACGGATATTCCCTGGCTTTGTGGTGGGGACTTCAATGAGTTTGTGTGGGACCATCAGAAATCGGGGGGAGCCAGTGTCCTGTATAATAGATCGGGGTACTTGCATAACTTTCTGAATGCAGCTGCTTTGGTGGATCTGGGGTTCAATGGGCCGAAGTTCACATGGCGTGGTAGGTGGTATGGTAATCTTGTGGAGGAAAGGCTTGATAGGGCGGCTGCTAACGTTCTTTGGCAAAATCTTTGGCCCCATACTTCTGTTCATCACGATACGGCGCTTTGCTCGGATCATTGCCCAATCGTGGTCCTATCCCAGCCCGCTACTCGTAGGGGTAAACGGCTATTCCGTTTTGAGGCGTTCTGGGCTAAGGAAGAGGATTGTAGGGCTCTAGTGGCTAAGTGCTGGGGCTCTCCAGGTAGGGGGCGGTGGATTGACTTGTGGAATCTGAAACTCTCAATATGCAAATCTCATCTTATCAGTTGGAGTCGGAATAAGTTCAACCGGCGTGGCTTGGAGATTGAGGAGTTGGTGCAGCAACTGGATTCGCTTCAGCATCATTGGGAGGATAATGCGGAGGAGATACATGTTGTGTCTAATCGCATTGATCAGTTGCGGGAGCAGGAGGAACTTTACTGGATGCAACGGTCTAGAGTTAACTGGTTTCGGGAGGGCGACGCTAATACTGCTTTTTTCCATCGTACGACTCTCCAACGGAGACGGGTTAATTCCATTGTTAAGTTGAAGGATGTGGATGGCTCTTGGGTGGATGATAGTCGGAGGGTTCCCGCTTTAGTGGAGGAGCATTTTAAATCCCTTTTTACTTCTGTGGGCTGTCGGGATTGGGGTGATATTCTCAACTGTCTGGAACCTCTGGTTTCTGAGTTAATGAATAATGATCTCATCAAACCTGTTTCTGAGGAGGAGATTAAGGTTGCTGTTCATCAGATGGGGGGTTTGAAGGCTCTGGGACCGGACGGGTTCCAAGGTATTTTTTATCACTTTTTTTGGGACATTATTGTTGCTGAGGTGAATGGTTTGGTGATGGATTTCATGCAGGGGGAGGGTAACACTCGAAGCCTTAACTCTACTTACATTGTCTTGATTCCTAAGGTCCCTCATCCTGAATCGGTGTCCCAATATCGTCCTATCAGTCTTTGCAACTTCTCGTTTAAGATTCTTTCAAAGGTGTTGGCGAATCGGTTGCAGCCCTTGCTGCCTCTTTTAATCTCGCCTATGCAGAACGCTTTTATTGCGGATCGGCAAATTCAGGAGAACCTTGGGCTTGCTCATGAATTGTTCCATTTTCTGAAGTTGAGGAAATCTCAGCAAAAGTTTGAGATGTGTGTTAAATTAGATATGCAGAAAGCGTATGACCGGGTTGAATGGGACTTCCTGGAAGCGGTTTTGCTGAAGCTTGGCTTTTGTCGTGGCTGGACTAACCTGGTCATGAACTGTGTTCGCACTGTGTAGTTCGCAATTTTACTGAATGGTCAGCCTGGAAATTGGTTTTCTCCCTCTCGTGGGCTCCGTCAAGGTGACCATCTCTCTCCGTACTTGTTT